TTGGGTGAGGAACTGGGTGCTTCACTCACAGGAAAGCCCGGCGGCTCCCGCTTGGGGCAGGCCTGGTCTGGGCACCCCCCCCCCCCCCCCCCCCCGTTCCCCACTGACGATCGCCAGCCTCAGGCCCCTCCTGCCCAGGGCTGCGTGTGGCCCGAAGAAACCCAGGAGGATGAGGAATGACCTGGAAGGAGGGGGAGGGAAGGGGTGCAGGGGACACCCCCCACCCCCCAGCTGTGCGAGGATTGGAGCTTTGCCTCCATTTCCTGGCTCCTAACTCCAAAAAAAACCCTGGAATCTGGGAGCAGGGTGGTTTTTACATGCAAATGAGGGGCAGGCGCCCCACTGTGCCCCAGAATGGGAAGGATTAGCTCATCCCCCACGGAGCCTGGGGATGAAGGCTGATTGACCACCTAGGCCAGAGGCAGAGGCCAGTGAGGAAGCTTCCAGATGGCTGGCAGTGGGTGGTTGGGGAGGGCGGAGAACCCCAGGGGTCCTAGCTCTGGGCCCCCGGGATGACACCCCAAAAGTGTGGGGCGGTGCTGGGGGCTGAGCCCCCACCTGTGGACGGCAGGCGAGAATGGGAACTGCCGGCATGCTGGTGGGAGCAGCCTGGGGAGGGCACAGGAAGGGGGCAGGGGGGGAAACTGAGATTCAGACTTCTCCCACCCCCACGGCGGCCCGGCCAGAGTTCCTGTATTTTCCTGTTTCTTCTTTCCAGGCAGGGGATCCTGTAGCCTGGGCCCGTGGAGGCTGGCAGGGGTGGGGGGCGATGAGGGGGGGTGAAGGCCCACACCACTGGGCCCGGCCCCATACGGCCTCTGTTGTTTTTATTTTTTAACAACAATGAGTGTTGTCTGCAAGGGTTTCAATCTTCCTTTGTTTCAAGGGAATTCTTGTTATTGTTATTATTATTGTTGTCAGTGGCAGGGCTTGAATTTAAGGCCGGGGCACTGTCCCTGAGCTTCTCTGGCTCAAGGCACGTGCTCTATCACTTGAATCACAGCGCCATTCCAGCTTTTTCTGAGTAGTTTATTGGAGACCAGAGTCCTATGGACTTTCCTGCCTGGGCTGGCTTCAAACCAGGATTCTCAGATCTCAGCCTCCTGAGTAGCTGGGATGACAGGAGGGAGCCTCCGGTGGCCCCTGGCACCAGGCTCCTGGAAGTCCTGCTCTGCTCTGCTTTCTCTCTCCCAAACCTATGGCTTAAAGGACGACCAGGCAGATCCTGCTCGGATTCCGGCCAGCCAAGTGAGCAGCGCTGCACACCCCCCCCATACCGCAGTCCAGGCTCCCATCTCCACCCCTGCAGTCCTGGCTCCCCATCTCTGTTCCCATCTGTCCCCGTGTCCTGGCCCTGCTCCAGGACGAAGATCTAAGAGACACGCACCCAGTGATGAATGGAGCGCGTTTGTTTCCAGCATTCAAACAGCTGGGAAAGGAGGCTTCAGACTTTGTTGTTGCCGGGGGTGGCGGCAGGCTCACACACGTGTGCGGCAGGGCCCCACACACGTGTGCAGCACGTGCACACCACAGAAGCCTTCTCTTCTCTTCTTTGGGGGGTGTCTCAGGTTTGAACGTGAAGTGTCTTGCTTGCTAGGCAAGCACTCTAACCACTCAAGCCACGCCTCCAGTGCTTTTGCCTTAGTTACTTATGGGATACAGTTTTGGATTTTTGTCAATCTGTGATCCTCCTACCCCCAACCTCCCTTTTTGCTGGGATCACAGGTGTGAACTGCCAACACCTGGCTTGTTGGTAGAGATGGAGGACTCAACTTGTTAACTCAGGCTGGCCTCAAACATCTGTGTTCCTGGTCTCTGATTTCCTATTAACTGAAAAGATACACAGATAGATAGATAGATAGATAGATAGATAGATAGATAGATAGATAGATAGACAGACAGACAGACAGACAGGCAGGCAGACAGATCTCTTTTCAGTCACCAGGGAGTCAGAGATCAGGAGGACTGAGGTTTGAAGCTAGCCTTGGCAGAGTTCTCAAGATCTCATCTCAACCAATTTAAAAACAACAAGGCCTGGTGGTACAGTCCGTGGCGCCTGGAGTGGAAGCAAGGCCCTGTCCCAACGGCCCACGTGCAGAGAGCGGGAAGCGTGGCCTAGCGGCCGAACACCTGCTGGGCCAGACCAGAGCCTGCGTTCAAACCCCAGTGTTCAGACGCAATGAAAAACCAAACCCCCAAATGAAAGCATCGCCGGCTTCGGAGGGAAGGCGCTCAGAACATGGGTCTGACACTCACAGGCCGTGTGATCTTCCTTAATGCCGGGCTGGGGAAAGTAAGCACAGATTTGGAGAAGGTTCCAGCACCGTCCCCTCCCTGCCCTGTCCCAGAGCAAGCAGAGCAGCCTGGGCGGGCTGTGGAGGCCCCAGCGGGAGCGCGGAGCGTGGCTGCCCCCCGGTGGTGGAGCGCGGGATGGGAGGCTCTGGCCCGAATGGGGACTTGGGGTGGGGGCCTCTCTAGCAGGCAGGAGTCCAGCCCAGCTGGGCACCCCGTCACCTGCTGGGTGAAGATGGCCCCACAGCCGGGAGCAGCAGCCGAGCCCTACTGTGTGCCTAGACCCCACTGGGGCGGAGAAAGGAGGCCCTGTCCTTCCCACCGCCTGACCCCTGAAGTACCAAGCATTTACTCTAAAATATCATTACATATGTTCATACTGCAGGTGATCTTCACGTGGGCCCGGGGCCACTGGATGTGGAAGGCAAATTCAACTGCTCCATCCAAGAAACCCACCCTGCAGGATGCCCACGGCTCACCGCGGTAATCCTACCTACTCCCCAACCTGAGATCTGAGGATCATGGTTCAGAGCCAGCCCAGGAAGGAAAGTCTGAGAGACTCTCAACTCCAATGAGCCAGCCAAAAGCCAGAAGTGGAGTTGTGGCTGAAGTGGTAAAGGGCCAGCGTCGAGCAGAAAAGGCTCAGGGACAGCACTCAGGTCCTGAGTTCAAGCCCCAGGACCTACACACACACACACACACACACACACACACACACACAGAACTCTTTCCCTTGCTCTTCCTGTACTGTCTTAGAGGCTGGCTTCCAGGGCCAAGGGTGGAGGGCATGACAGAGCTGGTCAGGAATGAAGCTGTCGCACTAGTGGGAGAAGCCTGTCCCGGGTTGCTGGGGTGTGGAGTCCAGAAAGATCCCCTCCCCCGGCATCCAGATGTTCTTCCCCCGTGGAACGGGGCTGTGTGAGCGAGGTGGCCAGCTCCAGCTCCCGAGGGTCCAGGGCACAGGGTCGGGGTGTTTCCCGACTCAGGGGGGAGAGATGGGAGGGTGGCCGCCTGGGGAGACAAGTGGGAAAGAGAAAAGGCCAGGGAGGAGCCACCGACACCGTGGGGCCCCGCAGAGCCCCTGCACGGAAGGAGGAGGTTTGTGGACGGGGCGGTGCTGGAACCCCCCACCGCTGGACTCGCCCAGGTGCCCTGAGAGCCTCTGTGATGTGGAAGAAGGCCGGGACGCCCGAGGCCTCTCCGTCAAGGTGACCCCACCCCAAAGGTCCTGGGCACACGTCCTGGCCAGCAAGCCTGTCCCTGTCCCCACACTCGCACTCATGCTGGTCCACATGGGTTTCCTGAGCCCCGTGAGGGCCCTGTGAGGCCGCTCTGCTGGGTGCTTAAGTCCCAGCCTGGGGGAAATCTGAGCTTTACTGCGGCCTGACGCGGAAAGGCTTCCCTGACCGGGCCGGTGGGGGCTAAGAGGACTTAACAACAAAAACCCAAAGGGTACAAAAGCATCTCAGGACAGACAGAGCTGACCCAGGACAGGGGGACTTGGCCTCGGCCAATTCCCAGGCTCCCTTGTGGGTTTGGGGAGGGCAATGACCAGTTCTACCCAATAGGAGGCAAGCGGGCCAGCTGAAGCCGCTAGTCTAGAACCTGGTAACTCTGGCCAATAGGATGTAAGCAGACTAGCCCTAGCCAATAGCAATGTAAGCTTACCTGCTCTGGCCAATAAGAAGTAAGCAAAGAATTCTGGGCTAAGCCAATCAGGAACCATCTTCTAGATGCCCTCCTTCACCTCTGGGGCACCCTTGTTCCTATGAGGCAGGGAAAGCTGCCCTTCCTTGGTGGGCCTAGTTTGTGCAGGAAGCGGTCTTCCCTGCACGCACGGAGTCAGGGCTTATCTCTGGGGTACCGCCAGCCGCCAGCCTCCCCTGGCTCACAAGCGGGGACTCAGTGAGCTCTGTCTCCCCTCAGATTTCAGCTCCTCCTGTGGAAGTTCCACCTCCTGATGCTGTGCAACCCCCCCCAGATCTCTGGACAGTGTCAGCTTGTGAGACCAGACCACCCTGGCTGAGGCATTCTGGGGGGCCCTGCATTGGGAAGCCAAGACCCAAGTCCCGGGCTTTTCCCTGCCAGCCCGGGCTTAGACCATCCAGCCCCAAGGGCCCTGCTGCCTTGGGGGCATGCAGACAGAGCTGACCCCAGCTGGCCTTGTCCAGGGGAGCCTGGCGCTTGCTCACTGATCTTACCAACAACTCCCTGTCCCAGGCCTCCTGCAATGTGGATTGTGAGGAGTTCCCCAGCAGGCAGGTAGAAAATAGCACTTCTTGGGCAAACCTCCGAGTATCTCCTTTAGGGAGGGAGAGGCTGTTCAGCTAAGACAGGGAGTGGGATCCCTAGGCCTCACCCTGTGGGGGTTAAGCTTGGGTTTCAAACCCCCTGAATGACTTGTTTTTCTAAGTAATGTCATTTATTTATGCTGAATTTGAAAGATATAGGCTTAGCTCCTTAAAGTTATTTACTTTCTTTTAAGAATTCTAAAGAGTTTTACACACACACACACACACAAATATAAAGAAAATAGAACAGAAAATACTTAAAATAAAAACTGGGCCTGGGCCTTGCACTCAGAACCTGGGTGCTGTCCCTGAGCTTTGTTTTTACTTTTTCCTCAATGCTAGCACCCTTATCACTTGAGCCACAGCCTTCTTTTTTTTTTTAAACTTTTTCAGGTGGTTTATTGGAGACCAGAGTCTCATGACTTTCCTGCCTAAGCTGGCTTTGAACCCTGATCCTCAGATCTCAGCCTCCTGACTAGTTAGAATCACAGGCCCACCAGCCCAGCTAAAACAACTTCTTTGTAATCTCCCAGACTGTGAAACACATCCTCACTTCATATCACAGCACAGCTCAAGTCACAAGACTGAGAAGACAAGCATAGGAAACGTGAAGGAAGAAAACCTCATCTCCTAAAACTGACCCCAGGGAGCTCAGGGCTCTTGCTTTTCTAGTTGTTTCTATGCAGACAGACAGGGCTGGGGAGAGAAGTTTCTGGATGTATTTCTTGAACCAAAAAGTAAAAGCTGACTCATGTATTAAATTGTAACTCTTTTTTCCTACAACTATTTAAAGATGATTAAAGCAATAATAGGAGTCAACGACACATTTTTGGTCTTTGTTACTGCTATTTAGCTTGCTTTTCTTTCTAAAATGCATGTCGTTATAGGTTAACCGTCTAGATGTACAGGGGCCAGCTGGGTGTGCTAGCCACCTGGTGTTTTTGCTGCAGATTTAAATGAAATAAGTTAAGAAAAACCATCCTTTGCTGCTAGGAGTGCTTCAATATCAAACTTGGATGGGTTTACTTTTCTCTTGTATTTTATTCTTTGGGTGTGTGAACTTGAGTAAAAATAGAGGAAACATTCTCCTATTTAAAAACTATGTCTTGTCTTTGTGGGTAGGGTGTCAGAGTTAATGCTAACATCCCCTTTATGTCTTTGGCTAAAACATAAATAATGATAACTTTCTTTTCTGCAGGACTAGGAATAGAACCGGGGACCTCATACATGGCAGACAAATGCTCTGCCACTGAGCTACAGCCCCAACCAGTGGCAATGCTCTGAAACCACTCAAATAAAGGCAGTCCAGACAATTTTCAGACAGTAAAAACTGAGGCTTAGAAAGGCCTTTGGTTTCAAGAACCTTTTTGGATCATTTTCATCCTGTGTGTAAACGAATTGTCCTGGGCTACAAATCTACCACTTTCCGATGCAAGACTTGGCAGATGCCGTGATTATTTTCTCAAACACTGACATACTGAGGAAAGGTTTTGAATTTTCCTGCTTACCAAAACAAATATCAGATTAGAAATTGTCTTTCCCCCTCCTTCTTGGGGGTGCTGGGATTTGAACCCAGGCCCTCAAGCCTGCTAGGCAAAAAGCTCTACCACTGAGCCACATCCCCAGTGCCCCTATCCCCTTCTCTCTTTAAGGCTTAATTTTTAAAGTCTGGCCCTTGTTGGAAAACACAGCAATTTGTAAATAAAACGTGGAAAATTCAAGGTCTTCGTCTTGAGTGGAGACAACACGGTTAGGGATAAATCCCAGGTGTGCAGGTGTCTCTGCAGAACAACACTGCGGGCTAAGGGCCAGTCTGTACTGTTGTTTCTGTGGCATATAATATCTAATTGAGTGCCTGTCTGAACTACAAACGTTGGGGTTTAAACTCAGGGCTTTGCGCTTGCTAGGTGGGTGCTCTATTGCTCAAGCCACACCTCCAGCCCTTTTTCCACTGGTTATTTTTGAGCTAGGGTCTCACTTCTTGCTGAGGCCGGCTTGGACCCACTCCTATCTACGCTTCCCACTTCAGTGGGTTGATAGGTGTGCACTGTCACAGACAGCTTTATGGGTCGGGATGGGTCTTGTGAACTTTTGGCTGGGCTGACCTGGAATCTTGATTCTCTTGATCTCTACTTCCCAAATAACTAGGGGTTTTTGCTTTGCCTCTGTTTTAATGCTTACAAAAGTTACTTATGCTTGTTGAGCACACATTCTCCAAATAACATGAAAGAAGTCCGCTGGGCCACCTTCGCACAGCTGTCCTCGGCCATGCTGCTCAGAAGCTGTTACCCTTCCTCCTGCCATTTTGTCACTTGAAGCTGTTTACTTATCTATGAACTTTTTCCTCTGCACTGCTGTCTTGAGATGGAGCATTTTCCAGAGGTCTCTTCCTCTCTTCTTGAACCTCCTCTGCCAAAAGAAGCTGAAGTTTGTATACCCATGGGTAATGAGCGTGGCCGGCAGTCCTCAAAAAGAAGGAAAAAAATAAAAAGAACTATTAGAAAAGGCGAACAATGCTCCTGATTGCTCCCTGTGCCACCTGTAATCCCCGCTTCTCAGGAGGCTGAGACCTGAGGCGCCTGCTTGGTCTGACAAATCTCTTATCTTCAATTAACCAGCAAACAGCTGGAACTGTGGCTACAGTGGTAGAGAGCACCAGTCATGAGTGGAAAAGCCCACGTGAGAGCCCAAGGCCCCGAGTTCGAGCCTTAGGACCAGCATACATGCCAGTGGCTCTGGGTTGGCCACAATGGTCCACCTATGGTTTTATGTATGTACGAATGTATGTACGGATGTCAATCCCAGGGCTTTGAACTCAGAGCCTGGGCTCTGTCCCTGAGTGCTGTACCACTTGAGCTACAGTTCCCATTCTGGCTTTTATGTTATTTTGGATATAAGAGTCTCACAAACTTTTCTGCCCAGGCTAGTTCTGAACTGCATCCCTCAAATCAGCCTCCAGACCAGCTAGGATGATAGCTCTGCTCACCTAAGATTCTTATTCTCTGTTTCTCTCTCATAGCCAACTCTTTTTCTTTTTTCGGTTAGCATTTATTAATGTACAAGGAGGTTTCTTTGTGGCGGTTTCATACATACATACAATTTGCTTTAATCAAATTCACCCTCTAATACTTTCACGTCTCTTTTTGTAACAGTTTTTAGGTTTTCGTTCTGTTCTATTTTCACACACAGATGTATCTCACTCCAGCTGCCCCCCCCCCCCAAGTCCCCAATTTGCATTGCTGGTTCTTTTCTTTCTTTAAGGTACTGGTCACATATGAAATGCCACACATGTGTTAGAGCTAACACGTGCATGCATGTGGTGTGGCCTGATCTTTGTAAAGGTGTGAGATGTGACTTCTCCCAGGCAGCCAAGATTCTTCCGTTGGTCAGTCATTCGTGGAGACTGGCTCTGGTGTGGCATTCCAGCTGATCACACACTGTGTTCTGCCCTGGCCAGCCCAGGCCTGGTGTGCAGAGATGGCCACATTGGGACCCCTTTAGGAACTCTGAGCTGGCTTTCAGAGGCTGATTTGGGTGCCATGCAGACAGCCCTGAGGCTTTCCTGCCCTCTGTGATGGAATGCAGGCCACTGACCTGTGTGAGTGGGCTTTTGGGCTTTCCTGCTTGTTTGAATGGGGGTATTTCTGGGGGCTCTCAGGTTGTAACGGACGCGTCAGAGCAGCCGTTTGACCGAGGCCTGACACCTACCGATATGAACTCCAGGAAAGGGAAACAGAGGTTTTAGTCGTTGCTGTTTTCACTTTATTTTGTTTTTTGTCTTATTTGCTGCCATACCTGTGGTTGGGACCCAGGAATGGAGGGACAAAGGGTGCACAAATGCAGCTGCGGCCCTCCCAGGACACGACGTGGGCAATGAGCCACACGACTCGTGGGTGGGGACAAGAGGGAAAACTGGGAGAGGAGGAGGAAAGGTGACACTGTCTAGAAAGCAATGTCCTCTTACCTGATTGTCTGTCACCTTTACAATAACAGAAAGTTAAACAACAGCTTGTTTGGCAGAAATGACAAGAAAAGAATCACAATCAGCTCCCGGTTTGTTGCTCTTATTTACTATTACTTGGTCGTGGGTGTGCTCGGTGGCTGCTCCCGGTTTGTTGCTGTTATTGGCTTGCGGTTACTTGGTCGTGGGTGTGCTCGGTGGCTGCTCCCGGTTTGCCGTCGCTCGGCGGTGGGTGCGCGCTGCGGTTGCGGCTGGCTGCTCTCTCGCTGGTGTTTGCTGGCTGGGTGGCGGCAGCTCCCGGCCTGGCTGTCCTCGGCTCGCGGTGGTCGGCTCCGGAGGGCGGGGCCCGCGCGGGCTCCGCCCCCCAGCTCTGGCTCTAAGAGGCCGCGAGCGGAGGCCGCGCTCGGGGATGGGGGTTTAGCCCAGCGGAAGGGCGCCCGTCTGGCGCGCCCAAGGCCGTGGGTTCGGCTCTCAGCCCTAGTTTAAAAAAAAAAAAAAAAAAAAGACACATAAAGCTACAAAAGACCAAAAAAAAATAAGGTAACAGCACACACACAACCTTTTCCACCGACACACAACACACACAGGCGGGGCCACACACCTTTTACACACAACACACACGCGGGGCGCACACCTTTTACACCGACACACACGGCACACACAACCTTTCACACACACGGCGCACACAACTTTTTCCAGCGACACACACACACACGGCGCACACAACCTTTTACACACACAACACACACACGGGCCACACAACCTTTTCCACCGACACACACACACACACGCGGGGCCACACAACCTTTTACACACAGCACACACGCGGGGCGCACACCTTTTCCACCGACACACACACACACGCGGCGCACACACCACCTTTTCCCTTCATTATCCGGATCCGGAGTCTGGGCGGCGCGCGGGGTCCCCCACGCCCCCGCCAGCGTGCGGGGCGCCCCGGGGGTCTCCGCGGACCTCCCCGATGCTCCCGCTGCCCGCGCAGGCCGACCCGCCGCGTGGACCCCGCGCCCCTGCGGACCGGACGGGGCGGGGACCGAGGAGGGCGGGGTCCAGAGGGGGCGTGGCTATCCATGGGGGCGTGGCCTCGCTCCACCCAGCTTCGCCAATGCCGCAATAGCGCATGCGTAACGGCATCGTTTTGGGCCTTCTCGCCGGCCGTCCTTTCCCAGCCTGCTCCGCGCGGCTACCCCCGGAAGTGGACTTGGCCTCTTGGAGAACGTCGCTTCTCGGCGGCTGGGCTCCGCGGGCCGCATCGCGGGGAAGCGGGAGCCCAGCGGAGGCGGAGGGGGCGCGGCGCCATGGCCGAGAGGCAGGACATGTTCGACGCCATCGTGATGGCGGACGAGCGGTGGGTAACGAGGGCGGGAAGGCGGGAGGGGAGGGGGCCGGTGCTGGGGGCGGGGCGGGAGGGGGCGGGGCGGGAGGGGGTGCGTGGGGGGCGGGGCGGGAGGGGGCGGGGCGGGAGGGGGCGGGGCGGGAGGGGCTGCGTGGGGGGCGGGGCGGGAGGGGGCGGGGCGGGAGGGGGCGGGGCGGGAGGGGGCGGGGCGGGAGGGGGTGCGTGGGGGCCGGTGCTGGGGGCGGGGCGGGAGGGGGCGGGGCGGGAGGGGCTGCGTGGGGGGCGGGGCGGGAGGGGGCGGGGCGGGAGGGGGCGGGGCGGGAGGGGCGGGGCGGGAGGGGGGCGGGGCGGGAGGGGCTGCGTGGGGGGCGGGGGCGGGGGCGGGGCGTTCGGGGTTGCAGGGTCGGTTGGGGGCTGCGTGGGGGGACGGGGGCGTGGCGTTCGGGGGTGCTGGGGCGGTGGGGGGCTGCGTGGGGGGCGGTGTTGGGGTGCTGGGGCGGTGGGGGCGGTGTTGGGGTGCTGGGGCGGTGGGGGGTGCTGGGGCGGTGGGGGCGGTGTTGGGGGGTGCTGGGGCGGTGGGGGCGGTGTTGGGGTGCTGGGGCGGTGGGGGGTGCTGGGGCGGTGGGGGCGGTGTTGGGGGGTGCTGGGGCGGTGGGGGCGGTGTTGGGGGGTGCTGGGGCGGTGGGGGCGGTGTTGGGGTGCTGGGGCGGTGGCGGGGCTGCGTGGGGGGCGGTGTTGGGGGGTGCTGGGGCGGAGGAGGGGGCGGGCAGGGGGGCGGGAGAGCAGCCGGCGCCGTGGGTCGCGCCCGCCCCCTGGCACGTGCCAGCCGCCCCGCCCCGCCCCTGCGGCATCTGCTCGGCCCGCGGCCCGCAGGGACCCCAGCCGCCCGTGGCACGGGCTTCTGCCATCTGGGAGCCGCCACTTTGTCTCGTTCTTTGATTGTGGGACGTCCGGGGCCAGACGGCGGCGTTCCCGGGCCTGCCCCTCCGCGGTCCCGGGTCACCCCTTTCTCTCTCGAGCCCCCTGGGGAGCGCCGCGGGCGGGGACCGGGTGGTCGCCTTGTGGCTGCTCTTTCAGGGACACTCCAGGAAGAAAAGTTCAGTCCCGCCCCGGTCTCTGTCCTGTGGACGGGGATCTGATGCTCTGCTGTCTGCGTCCCTCAGGGCACACGGGCCCTGGGCAGGAGGGGGGGCGGTTCACGACCCTCATCCCACAGGTCCCGTTAGACCGTCATCTGCTGACCGAGGAAACGTCCTGAATGCATTACAGTCTTTTGGGGACACATGCCTGAGTTTTTGGGAAACTCAGAACTTGGCTTCCTTGGTCACCAGAGTCCCCTTCTATTCTGGATTTAACTATGGGGAGGGAGCCCTGAATTTGAGTTTCCCTGCTTGCCCCTGCTGCTCCACGGGACAGATGTCTCTCATGTAGCCCCCTCTGTGTCCGTGGAAGAAACTGGCTTCTGGAGGTGCAGCCCTGGTGGGAGGCTCAGGAGAAGGCGCTCCCTGGGCCTGGCGCTCCCATTCTCGGACTTGAGCTTCAGATGTTTCCCAACGTAAGGTGCTCTGTCACACAGGGGTGCATGATCCCCAAGGCAACGGTTTGCAGGAAAAGTTGGCCTTCTCCCTTGTTGGCTGACTCTTCCTTCTCCATCACAGATTCCATGGCGAGGGCTTCCGGGAAGGCTATGAGGAAGGCAGCACTTTGGGCAGAATTGAAGGAAGGCGGTATGGCACAGTACATGGGGCCAGAGTGGGATCGGAGGTAAGTGGGAACGTCCATTCAGAAGTGAGACCCAGGCACAGCGCCTCCCACCTGTGTTCCTAGCCACTCAAGCGGAGACCTGAGGACCACAGTTTGAAGATAGCCCAGGCAGGGAAGTCTGCGAGACTCTTATCTCCAGTGAACCAGCAAAAAGCTATAGCTCAAGTGGTAGGGTTATAGTTTTTTTTTTTATTTTTATTTTTTTTTATTGTGAAAATACGGTATAGAGGGGTTACAATCACATGAGCAAGGTAATGGGTACATTTTTTGTGATTTCTTTTGGGGTGGTCTGGTCATGGGGCCTGAACTCTGGGCCTGGGCGCTGTCCCTCAGCTCTTCAGCTCAAGGCTAGCGCTCTACCACTTGAGCCACAGCTCCACTTCTGGCTTTTTTCTTTTTGCTTATGTGGTGCTGAGGAATCGAACCCAGGGCCTCAGGCATGCAAGGCATGTGCTCTACCACTGAGCCACCTTCCCAGCCCATCTGTGAGACTTTTGTCTTCAATTAACCACCAAAAAGTTGGCAGTGGCGCTGTGGTTCAAGTGGTGGAGTGCCAGCCTTGAACAGTAAAGCTGAGGGACAGCGTCCCGGTCAGAGTTCAAGTCCCAGTACTGCCATAAGACAAAAAGAAAGACATGGTGAGCCTTTGTGTGTAGTAAACAGACTGGAGAGCCTCGAGGACTTGACCCGGGGTAGCAGTAGAGAGCAGAGGCCCAGGCAGCCAGAGGTGAGGGAGCCTCGTGGTCACCAGAGCTTCATGGTGTCATGTGCTGCCCCAGTCCTCATTCCAGCACCTGTGTTTCCGCTGGTATTCTTACCCTTTGTCCCAGACCCTGTGTGGGCAATTAGATGCTTGATACTGCACCCCACGTGACAGGCGTAGGCAGCGGGCCACCAAACCCTGCTTCCCTGAGTCCCCACGCTGCTGCAGGGCTCAGCAGTTTGGAGCTGCGTGATAGGGTGCTTCTGCTCCACCGTGGGGTCCCCCCACACTGCTGCCATCATAGGTGCCACCTGTGGCTGGTGCACTGGCCTGACAGCGGCCACCTGGGACGCCAGGGGCAGGGCAGAAGTGACCTCACTCAGGGGCTGCTGCTCCCCCCCCCCCCAGCCTGTGGGCAGTTCCAGCCACCCAGGAGGGTGTTGGGCTGAAGGCAGCTTTCAAGGCCCCGTGGCCGGGGCTCAGCAGGCCCTTCAGGAGCAGGAGAAGCGTGGCTGGTGGACAGGGAGCTGGGCTCCTTCGTGGACCTGTGCGTAACTTCACCTTGCAGATTGGTTGCTACCAAGGCTTTGCTCTGGCGTGGAAGTGTCTCTTACACAGTGGCAGGGCCGGGAGAGACAGGTGAGGCTGTGCCGCCCTCCTTCCCGGCCTGGGTCCCCACGTGGGTGCTGCTGGGAGGCGTGCGGCCGTGGGGTGCTGGGCGGAGGGCGCGGGCCGTGGCTACTTCTCCCTCTTCTCCTCGCGTCACCAGCATGCCAAGTGGGCGTCCAGCCCCCTCCAGCCCTCGGGGGGGACGGAGGAGGCACTCATCGGCTGATGCCCTCTTGCGGGTGCTCCCTAGCTCAGTCCACCCGCCTTCAGAGCCGGGTGGGTCTGTGGAACTGGGAGCTGGAAGTTTGGTGTGGGTGTGGCTCCCCGCATGCCAGGGAGCAGTTGGCTGTCACAGCGCGACGTGACATTTGCATGGCTGGAGGCCCCTGGGGAGCGCCGGGTCTGCCCAGTCACCTGCCCTGTGTGCTGGGCAGGATGGGGCTCGGGCGCCCCATGCCTGGGGAGCCCCTTCTGAGCAGCACAGTGGGCCCCGAGGTCCCCCACCAGCCTCAGGAATCACCCGCATCCCTCCGCCTTCCTCAGTTGACTTTCAGGGAAGGGGAGGTGGGGTGGTTTGAGAGCTGGTTTGCCCCTAGACCCGGGGCTTGGTCACCGCCTGTGCTGGAGCAGGGTGCTGCGTGCCTCTCCTGTGTGCACCTTTCTGCAACACTCAACTTGCTCCCGGAGGGGCCTGGCCTCGGGCCCCGGGACAGTGCTGTGCTACCCTGGTGGGGAGAGGCCAGGTCCCCTGTCGCTGAGCCTGTGGCTGTGAGCATGCGTGCTCCCCGCTGACTCACTCCAAGCAGAGCCTGGCCTGTGGTCCAAGTCTGATGGCGCGGTGGAGGCCGGCGTTGAAGGCCGTGGGTGGGCCAGGTCTGCGCGTGTAGCTACACAAACATGTAGCATTTAACTCAAGGGCTGGATTTTGGGCTTCTGGCTGGGTGGTTCCTGTCCACGGAAGTGTGGACAGGGGGGTGGGGGTACTGCCTCCCCGTGTCTGTGGGCGAGTGGGGGTGGAGTACGGTGTAGGAGGAAGGCTGTCTCTGTTTGCAGCAGGAAGGTGAAGGTGGCGGAGGCCTTGATTGGAATGATAGAGAATTTTCCCTATGAGGATGCCACGTACGATAAACTGCACGAGGACTTGGACTGCATCCGGGGGAAATTTAAACAGGTTCGTCCGCTGGGCCTGTGCTCCAGGTCTGGCTCAGGCTCCCTTTGCTTGGTGACTGTCGGGCTCCGGCCGCCTCACAGACTGCTCCTGAGCCGGACGGCCCGGGACGGCCCGGGGCAGCGTGGAGGGGAGGGTGTGGTGGGGACGCCTGTAAGGCAGACAGAAGGGAGTTTCAACCAACTTTTCTTTCCAGCTTTGTTCCTTGCTCAACGTTCAGCCTGACTTTAAAATCACCACGGAAGGTTCTGGACTTTCATTTTGAGAATGACAGATGAGCAGAAAAGAAATCTCAAGGGACAGATGTCTGTGTGTTCTGCGTTCGCAGACGTGATTAAAGGCAAACAAAGCGGCCAGGGTCCCCGCCCGGCCTCCTTCCCTGAGCTTTTGCCTGGGTCACCGAGATGGCCACGCCCCCTCCCGCCTGCCCCCTGCGGGCTGCTGGGGTCTGTCCAGAGCTGGAGCTTCAGCTGGCCCTGGGCCGGGCGGGCTGAGACCAAGCCTTACTTAGGGAAGCACTGTTGGGGGGAAAGGAGAGGCAGGACAGGGTGAGGTCAGTCCATGGCCACTGGCACAGCAGTGGGTATGTCTGTTGCCTGGGACGGATGAGATGGACGGCAGGGCTGGCCCGTGAGGGCCCTGTGGTGGAGCCCAGCTGCCCCTGAGGGTCCACCACGAGCCTCGTCCAGCCAGCGCGGATGACACCTGTGTGTGCCCTGGCCTCGGGCTCAGCCAGGGCAAGGATCCTGGCCGTGCGTGGGCCTCGCCTTCGGGCCGCTGCGGTCTGAAGCTCTCTGGGGCCGCAGCGAGGCCCATCAGTGGGGCCCCTGCGCCCGTGCAGCCCGTGTTTCCTGTTGGACAGTGTCGACGTGGCTGGCCACCGCTGCACACGCGCGTGCCCGCTCTGTTCTGAGAGAACACCTGGGACTCGTGACCTTCCCACCGCCTCTGGGACCCGCGGGGTGAGCGGCGGGAGCCACCAAGACAGCAGCTCTTAAGATTCCGGGACATCTTGGTGGACGCCCGCAGCTGGGTCCAGGGGGCGGGAGACCACCCTCCCCCAGGCCCAGACCACCCTCACAGAGAGCCAGGAGAGGGTGGTGTGCCCCGGTCCCCAGCACCGGCCACATGCCCTGTGTGCGTGTCCAGGGGCTCTTGGCTGTGGCTTTCCTTGGCGTGTTCTTGTATGTTCTGTTACTAGTGTGCGTAGTGTGTTTTCTAACGAGGAAAAAATAAACAGACTTTCGCACACACACCTGTCTGGGGCCATCAGTGACCTCCAGCCACTGCCTGCCTTGCCTGGCTGCAGCCTCGTATTGTGTCGTGTGGGTGCAGACGAGGGCTCCCCCGGCATCGCCCTGGCCCGCAGCTCATCCCACCGCCGCGTCTGGCGCCTGTCCTGGGTTAGACACAGTGACCAGAGTGAGCGCCAGCCCAGCGCACGCCAGCTGAGAGGCCTCGCGCAGACACCCCACACCAGCACAGGAGCCCAGAGTGGGCAGGTCCTGGCTAAGGTGTGCGCCCACGTGGAAGGGAGGCCCTCGGGAAAGGGACCAGTGAAAACGGCTATAGCTGTGGCCCTTGGCACCCGCACACACGAGGCCTGGAGTGACAGGCCCTGATTTGATCCTCAGCTTGATAGTGCCAGAAGTGTATATGAACACATAATCATCTACGTGGTCATATACACACTTATATATTAATGTGATATATAAATGTATCTGAAGTATATGCATGTTGTACTTACATGTGTATATGTGTGCATCTATGTGTGTATACACACACACACACACACACACACACATGTGTCCACCCACAGTGGGGCTTGAACTCAAGGTCTTAGCTTTTTCTGAGCCACAGCTCAACTTCTAGCTTTTTGCAGGTTTATTGGAGATAAGAATCTTGGATTTGTCTGCCCAGGCTGGCATCAAATCTTCATCCTCAGAGTTTAGCCTCCTGAGGCTACATTATATTCATATTAATATGTATAATATAGACTCTAGATGCTCACTTTCTGATTACACTTCCAGGGTACTATCATGTTTTTTTGTTGTTTCTGTTTCATTTTTTTGTCAGCTGTGGGACTTGAACTCAGGTCCTGGGTGCTGTCCCTGAGCTCTTCTTGGTCAAGGCTAGCACTTTGAGCCACAGTGCCTCTTGTTTTCTGGTGGTTAGAGAGAAGTCTCACAGGGACGACTTTGCCCTGAGCTGGCTTGGAACCGTGATCCTCAGATCTCTGCCCCCTGAGTAGGATGTAGCCATGAGCCACCTGCACCAAACTCATGTTGTTGATTTGAGTGTATTTTTTCTTGCTGTTTTGCTCTGTGCAACTTTTTAGACAATACTGGGGTTTGAGCCCAGGGCCTTGAGGTTGCTAGGCAAAGGGCTCTACCGCTTGAGCCCTTTGCACTTCAAAAAATAGTGACCGTAAGAGGAGGGCAGTCCCCTTCCAGACAGGACAGCCTTGAGTTGAGATCCTGGCCGGCCCCCTGCCAGCCGCCCAGCCGCCCAGCCGCCGTCGCACAAGCAGAGGGCTGAGAGCGCAGCACCGGACAGGACCTGCGTCCTTATGCCTGCTGCACCCCAGCCTGCACGCAGGCCCTCCCTGTGTTCCAGTGCCCTGGGGCCCACTCAGCGCTCCCCTGGCCCAGGACTGTTGGGTTTGGCTTTCCTTTGTGTGCTGTCTTCCCAGCTCCCTCGCTATTTCCCTGTCCCTTCCTGTCTGACAGTACTGGGGTTTTGAACTCAGCCTTGTGCTTCCTGGGCAGGTGCTCTACCTCTGAGGTAAGTATGCCTGCCTGCAGTCCTGCATGTCTCTATTGTTTTTGGCACAGGGTCTCACTTCCTCCCTGGGTGCAGGGTCCTGGCCTAGCTGAGCTGTTGGTGGTGCCCGCTGCTCCCTGTTGAGATGGAGTTCTATGGAGTTTTCTGCCGGGGCTGGCTTAGAACTGCAGCCCTCCCATCCCAGCTTCCCCTGTAGCTAGGATTCCAGTTTCAGGAACTTTTCTGATCCCAAACGGCGGGATCACAGGTGCGACCAGCCATGCCCAGTGTCCTTCATTGAGATGCAGTCTCACAGACTTTCTTCCCTGGCTGGAGCGGCGCCATGGGCCTCCCATCCCCAGCCTCCCCAGAAGCTGGCTCTTAGGGACTGTAGATGCAGGTGGTCTCATTTTTTCCAGGTGTTTGTGAGTCTGCCTGCACCGTCCATAGGTGATGCGTCCCTGAGTGGCTCCCACGGCAGACAGACATCTTCCCATACCCTGGAGGCTGGAGGCTGGGATCCAGGGGTCCCAAGCTGGCCTCTCCCAAGCCAAGTCCACCCTGGCTTGAAGATGGCGTCTGTCCTGCGTCCTGTGAGCCTGAGTCCTCCTGTAAGGACCCAGCCAAGTGCGATTAGGGCCACCTGATGAGTGACCCCCATTCTCCTTAGTTGCCTCCCCAGCCACAGCCCCCTGCAAGCTGGGGGTCAGGCTGGCCGTGTGTTTGTGCCCCGGGACACAACTGGCCTTGCTGGCAGTGTGCCCAAGGCTGCGACGCTGTTAGTCCCTCCTTTACTGTGTTAGTGTGTTCCTGTTGGGGCTTGAACTTGGGGCCTGGGTGCTGTCCTTGAGCTCTTTTGGCTGCTGTTCTACTTGAGCCCACACTTCCACTTCCAGGGTTTTGCTGGCTTGTTGGAGATGAGAGTCTCATGCACCTTTCTGCCTGGGCTGGCTTTGAGCTATGATCTTAAGATCTCAGCTTGCTGAGTAGCTAGATGATGATGGGTGTGAGCCACCGATGCCCAGCTTTTTGCCCGTTTTTATAAATAAAGCTTTATGACCACACAGCCTCTCTTGTGCATTTATTTCACCATCTGGCTGCTCTCACCAAAATACAACAAAGCCTGAACAGTCCTTGTCTGGCTCCAGAGGGTAGAGTGGGTGTTTCCCATGCTACCTGTCAGGGGAGGCCTCAGAAGATGGAGGACCCACGGGCCAGCGCGGGGAGCCAGCGCGAGGAGCCGTGAGTCTCAGCCTCCCCGCCTCCCTACTGGTAGGGAGGTGGTGTCTGGACCCCAGCTCCAAACCCCAGGAGTTCTTTGTTTCGTTCACCAAATAGAGACCTGGTGATGGGTGGGGACGCGGCACTGTGGACAGCGCTTCAGCCCAGCCCGGGCCGTGGGTTTAAATGGCAGTGGGGACAGGGCGGGTGTGCCCATGGCTGTGTCGCTGTCCCTGCGGAGGGACCAACCGCTTGGAGCCGCCTGGTAAGGATAAAGAAGTCCCTGACCCCTGGCAGGAGTTGGGTGGGGTCCTCGCTGCCTGCCGGGTGTCTCCCGAGCAGAGGCTGCTAGGGGCGCGTTCTCCAGGAAAGCTGAGAAGGAACAAAGGCTGCCCCGCCCTGGGCCGGGGTCTCCGCCGGCCACGTGGGCTGGGGCCCCAGCCCGGGGCCTGCCTCTTCGGCCAGCTCTGAAGTGACTGACAGCTGGCTCAGCTGTCACCAGGTGACAAAAGGATTAATGGACGCCACTGCCTTTGAAGGGCTCGAGGCCCACTACGGCCCGGTCCTCCTTGTGTGCCCCCGTGAGTGGCAGTGACAATGGCCCCGGATGCAGGCCCCAAGGCCCGTGGCCCAAGCTGCTATTGTCTGCCCTGCGGGCGGCGGGGCCTGCGGGCGGGCCAGGGGGCTGTGGGAAGGGATTAGAGGTCCAGGCTGCCTTCCCCAGATCAAAGGCATTCCTGGGGTGACAGGGAGGCCCTAGGGGAGAGGTTGGGCAGCATGGGGGGCACTCTGCCCCTCCTGTGGGCAGACACACTCCACCCCTCCCACACCCCACAGGCCCAGCTGTCCTCATGACCATGGGTGCTGCTCTGGGCAGTGCTACTGCCCACCTCCTGCACACTCTCCCCGCCCCCACTCCCACACACGCGCTCTCCCTCGAGGGCGAGGCCTGGGAAGACAACGGCAGCTGGGCCAGAGCTGGGCCAGAGCGGAGGCATCTTCACTGAGTCCCACCCTCTGGAGGAGCCGATGGCCAGGGCAGCTCCTGCACTCAGGAGACCTGGAGTGGGAGCCTGGGCAGTCTGCGGTCACCAGCCTCCAGCTGGTGGCCAGGGTGCCAGAACTGAGGGAGGAGAGGCAGGCCAGGCCCAGAGCTGAGTGCTGGGAGAGGAATGCCCAGTGGTGGGCAGAGATATGACAGGCCGAGACTCACTGCGCAGCGATCCTGCCTAAGCAGCGGGCAAGAAAAGGGTTACAAGATGGGGTAGCAGGTCAGCTGACTCTCAGCTTTGCCCCTGATCAGAACAGGGACCCCAATACCACATCCAGGGGTGTTGTGTGCCAAGCACAGCTGGTTGGTAAAGGTTAGCAGAATATCGCCTAACCAAGCTGAGAACCTTCCAGAATGACTAGTCATCAGCCCCCAAGCTGAAGGGACACCACTGACCCTTCCACCTCTAGCTGGTAGTGAACAGCAGTGCACGCAAGGTGCCCCTGCGGCCTCCCGCCTCCCAGGGGCCCTAGGCCCACCCCCCGTGCCCAGCACACATTTGGCCCTGTTGTCCTCCCTCGGCTACCCTGCCCTTGGGCCGGCAGCAAAAGCAACCCACAGGCTCCTACCCATCTGGGGGGCAGCCCCTGGTTCCTTCTCCCTGCCTCCCCCCAAACACCAGGGGACGTACTGCAGTGTCTCCTTAGGATGGGCTCTGGGACAGCCCGGTGGACGGGTGGCAGGCCCTCCAGCCTCTTCTGTCTTCCCATCAGCCCCCCCCCCAAAAAAAAACCCGACGCCACAGTGGGATTTTATCGATTTTATTCTAGACTTTCCACATTTGTCCTTTGTTTTCTGCTGGAAACGTGCCGGTTACATGTCTGTGCTGAGAAGTGCCCTGCTGTCAGGAACACACAGACCCCAAACTGCCACCCGTCCCCACCACTGGACGCTCAAAGCCCGGCGTGCCGCAGGACCGACTCCGTGTGCCCTGTGGACCTGCCACCAGCCTTTGGCCTTTGGGCACACACGGCATCCAAGGCTTCTGCCTGTGTCCGTCTGTCGCTGTGGACCGCCCCTCCCCCAGGACCCCGAGGCAGGGTGGTTGAGGTAAGCTGAGGGGTGGGAAGGCACCGTCCTGGGGGCGCAGCTGACCCCAGGCAGGGCACCAGCAGTCACAAATCCTTTTGACTGGGCAGCTGGCTAAAGGGGACCCGTGAGCACCTGGCATTGAAATGGTAATGTACAAAGCATCAACCGACAGAACAGGAGTCCGAAACAACAGATGAAACCACCCAACACTTGAACAAGCTCCAGAAGCGATTTCTATCATCCCGAAGGACGGTGTCCCGGGGCTCAGCACCACGCCGGCACGTAAGACTGACTTGTTAAAATAATAATAATAATATAATAATAATGCAATGTTCATAACTACACATACAGAATGATACAGCTGTCCCAACTACTGATGGTACGCCCCAGCTCAGACGGAGGGAGGGCCCAGCAGGGCACAGCCCGGCGCCCGGGGCCGCGTGGCCTCCCACGCCTCAGAACGCCTGTTTGGGATCCCGTCCGTGTGTCTGTCTGTAGGACCAGACAGAGTCTGACCACTGGACCTGCACAATAGCTAAAGAAAGCATGAGGTATTGTGAACAGACCTTTTTTTTGTTTTTGTTTTTGGAATAGAGCAGTAATCATATTAAGTCAAAACTGATCACATTAAAAAAAAAACCTACAAAAAGGGCATATGCAATACAATTTTCTATGAGGAAATCAAAACGAGAACATGGCAGTATATGACATCGTAAAACAAAACAAAACAGAAACAAACCGATCCTCCAATAGCAGCAAAACAACGTGAAAGATGATTCAGAGAAGCTATGCAAATCTGCTTCGGAACCGGGCAGGAATTCATCGGTAGCAGCGAAGTAAGACGGAGCCACAGCCTGTTCCTCGTCCCCTCGAGACGGTCCTCCCTCCCTCGCCCCCCATCCCCTCAGCCTCAGCCTCAAGCCCTCCACACCTCCCTTCCACACCCTCAAATAAAAGGTAAGAGCCAAGATGTGCAAATTATCTACCTGTCACTAATATATATATATATATCTTTCTTTTCAGAGAGGGCAGAATGTGCTAGAACTGAACCCTAATTTCCTTGATGCTTGGATCAAACCACTTTGGGGGAATTCCAAGCAGGCCAAATCTGTCATTTTCTGGCATAGTTTTCCTTGAAACCCTTTACTTATAAAAGGATCAATCTTTTGTAAACAGTTCTAAAACTTTGGGGGCAAAAAAGTCTGTGTCTAAACTCGGGGAGATTGCATTACTTTATAAATCATACTGGCCTTATCAACATCGTCTCCAATAAATATTCTTTTTAGCCTTAACTATAAATTATATATTTTAGTGTTTAAAAACCTTCCGTCATGAAACATCTAAAGGTAAACCTTAAACTACTGGGTATCTACGTACCTTCCAGGTCCCTACTTCCAAACTCCAGCTGGCACCAAGACTCCTATGACTTGAACTTCTCTACACAACACAAAAGGACTTTCTCCTGACTTTCAAGACAGCTCCCCACCCCTGGCTAACAGCACAGTGACTCGAACTCAGGGTGCAGCCCCGTCTGCACAAGCAGGATTGTATTCCCAAACCATCCCATTCAAACACTGCCCCCTGCCGCCAAGGTGGCAGATCCCATTCTGCCTCCCACCACCGGACCAAAGTGCTCTGACACGGAATGGTTTTAGAATACCCAGGAGGGAAAACATACAAAAGGAGTAACAACACAAAAGTAGCTGTGGGTTTAACCTGATGTAGGCAGGCTCCAGGGCCGTGGGGGACGGGATGGGGGAGGAAGGGGGAACCAGCATCTCATCAACAGGGTGACTACAAAAATAGCGAGATTATAAAAATAGAATATATTCTGTCCCTCTTGCTGCCTGCCTCGGCCGGAGCATGCTGGCCGAGTAAGATGGCTTTTCCCACTACCACTGGGACACTGGTTGGTACCCGGGGGCATCACAGGTCACCCGGACAGAGACCAACCAGCCGTGGACCAGGCAAAGAGGTCGCCTCCACTACAATATGCCTAGGACGCTTGCTTAGGGACTGGCTACTTGAGCGCGCAGGTAGAGACGAGGGCCGTGTGGAAGACAACTCCTCAGGAAAGCAGAATACATTTCTCTACCTAAAGCCTCCTCTACTTGAAAGAAGAAAAAAAGGTTTCTTGCGTTTTTTTTCTTTTTAAAATGTCTTTTATGCTTTTTTTTCCCTGAACACACACACACACACACACAAATCAACTCTAGTCTTCCCTAGAGACATCTTGTGTGTTAACAACTATTCTTAAAACTCAAACAACACCGAGCGAAAACTAGTTCATTACCAGCCTAGAAAAATCCTCTATATAGTACAAGCCACTGAAGGCTGTGCAAATTCTATTTCTCTCTTTCTCTCCCTCTAAAAGACCATTTTCAGGGAATTTTTTTCCTTTTGCTTAAGTCAGAGACAGAAAAGACAAAGAATACAGAAGAAAACAAAAACAAAAAACCCAAACCAGCAAGGAGAATGAAGCGCTCCTTTCTGGTGTAGCGAAATGTCCTGTGAGGGACGGTTAGGAGCCCCAGGGCGGCTCCTGGCTCTGCGGCCCCGGAGGGGCCCTCAGACGTCCACGTCGCGCACATCCGTGGGTGTGCAGGACAGATCCACCTCCTCCTCCTCCACCTCCTCCTCCTCCGAGGCCTTGGGGTCCAGGTTCTGCTGGGCTTGGCGCAGGCTGGCTTCCAGCAGCGCCTCGATCTGCTCCTGGCAGGCACGGAGGCAGTCCTGGGGGGCAGGGGGAGGGATCTCAGCAAAAGCCCCTACCACCGCCAGGTGTCACCACCAACACCTGAACTGACTTTCCTGACTGGCCCAGCTTCAAACCACCATCCTCACTGGGTGCCAGTGGCTCATGCCAGTCATCCCAGCCACTCAGAAGGCTGAGATCTGAGGATCACTGTTCAAAGCCAGCCTGGGCAGGAAAGTCTGAGATTTTTATCTCCACTAGAAGTGGTGCTGTGGCCCAAGTGGTAGAGCGTTTCCTTGAGCTGGAGAGCTGAGGGACAGCGCCCAGGCCCAGAGTTCAGGCCCCACGACCAACAAAAACAAAAAACCCCACCATGCTCACATCTCATCCTCCTGAGCATCTAGGAATACAGGAATGAGACATGGGCAGCTGCCTGGGTATTTTTCTGGTAAGGAGCAAGGCCACAACCAGCCTTTCTGAGGCCGCTCTAAATCCTGGAGGAAGATTTGCGAGCTGCCTCAAACTGGTTCCCAGCGGCCCTGGCCTGTGGGCCCAGCCCAGCACCCAGGGCTAGCCCCGCCCCCAAGCAGCAGTATGCACATGGATGGGCTGGGGAACTCAAGGACTCAAGCCATATGTAAGGCTGGCAAAAATGAGCCCATTTCACAGATGGGGACCGCCTCAGGCTGTCCATGAACTCTACCCACAGCTCTTAGGAGTCCCAGTTCGGCTCCCAGGGAATGGCAGCTCTGAGCCACTCTAGAGTCCTCTGGTAGAAGTGCAAGCTGGGGCCCAACTCGGGACTCCCAGCCTTGTCCTCGGACCCGGGGCTGACAGCTACCCCCAGTGAGTACCTCAGCTGGACGCCAATGCCTCATATCTCTAATCCTAGCCACTCAGGAGGCCAAGAGAGATCTGAGGATGGCAGTTCAAGACCAGATTGAGCAGGAAAGTCTGTGAGACTCGATTTCCAGCTAACCACCAAAAAGCCAGACCTAGAGCTGTGATCCAAGTAGAACACAGCCTTCAGCAAAAAAAGGAAAGTTTCGGGACAGTGCCCAGGCTGAGTTCAAGTACCAGTATCTGTATAAAAAACACCAAAAAGAACTCAAAGCAAAGTGGCTGGAAGTGTGGCTCAAGCAGCATTGAGTACCTACCCAGAAAGAGCAGAGTCCTGAGTTCAAACCCCAGTACTATCACCAAATAAAAACAAAAACACAAGATACACAGCTGTGTGTATTTACAGCTGTGCATAAACTCAGGGCCTGTTGTCCCTAAGCTTCTTTTGCTCAAGGCTGGTGCTCTACCTGTGAGCTAGCTATAGCTCTACTTTTGCCTTTTTTGATAGCTAATTGGAAATGAGAATTTCATGGACTTTCCCGTCCCAGCTGGCTTTGGACCCCGATCCTCAGATCTCAGCCTCCTGAGTAGCTGGGATGACAGGCGTGAGCCACAGGCATCTGGCTTATTTGAGTTCTTTACAAGAGCTGAGAATAAAATGACAATAATAAGTTGAGCACCAAGAGGCGTCTTTGGGGTTGAATGTCTGGATCTTGGGCCTCAGCTCACCAATGCCAGGTACCAGAGGCCCTGGGGGAGGTCCGAGGAGCCAGCGCAGTTGTATCCCATGGCCGCCCGCACCCCAGGCGGCCGCCCCGCCCCCACTCACAGGGTCACACTTGATCAGCCTGGAGAGGAAGTGTGTCATGCGGTAACAGGACAGGAAGGTGTTGGGGCTGCCCAGGTACAGGCCCTGCATCGCTGCCACCACGCTCCCGGCGGCCACCATGGAGGGTGGGTTGGAGATGAACTTCACGTCTGCAGCAGAGAGGGAGAAACGGGATCGTGAGCAGGGAACCGGGGACTTCATCCATGCCCAGTGCACCCCGCCCCGGTGCCGGGTGCCAGGGACAACTTATGACCCCAGTATGGAGGGCTGAGGCAGGAGGATGTGTAGTTCAAGGCCAGCCTAAGGCTGCTGGGGAAAGGAACCCTGGGCCTTGCCACTTGGTTGACACCTTGGCTCACGCCTGTCATCCTAGCTACTCGGGAGGCTGAGATCCGAGGATCATGGTTCAAAGCCGACCCAGGCAGGAAAGTCTGTGAGACTCTTATTTCTAATTAACCACCAAAAATGCTAGAAACAGAGCTGCTGTGGCTTATGTGGCAGAGACACCCTTGAGAGAAAAAAGCCAAGCACGCATGAGAGATGGAGTTCAAGCCCCAGGACAGGCTCTTACAAGCACACTCCTCCCAACTGCTGGGTGCAGCTGCGGGAGAGCACACTTGCCCAGCATGTTTGAGGCCCTGGGTTTCCTCAGCCCTGCAGACAGCACCCACCTCATCCCAGCCCTATGGGGCAAAGGAGGAGTCAGTCCTCCCCGCAACGAGAAGCCTGGCCACAGGGATTGGACAAGGACACGCTGCTCTGCAACCAATGCCCAGCAGCAGGGACTGCAGGGCAGGGCAGGGAGGGAGGGGCGGGGTGGTGGGCCTGGGCTGGGCCCTCCAGGGTGCCAGGCCTTCTCCACAGCCACGCCCCTTTCCCACTGGACTTCACTGAGAGCCAATCCAGGATCCCCCCACACCTCTTCTCTGTTCAGTAGTCCAAGGCCTTTCCTGTTATCTTGACCCAGTGAACCCTATGGGTTCCCCACAGAAGACCATCAAAGTAGGAGAAGCAACAGCCCGCTAGGGGGCGCTGCACCAGGCCATTGTGGGGCTGTCTCCTGTGCTGGCCCTAACTAGAGGACACACCTACTTCCCCTCTACGTGGCTGCACCATGATGGGAGGTTTTGAACCAGAGGTTTCCCGGCCAGAGCGGATGGACATGGGAAGGGACGTGTGTCAGCCCTCACTGCTATAGTCCATGCCAACAAGTGTCCAGGAATGAGCTTAATGAAACCACAAAGAGAGAGAGGCCTCCACACAATCCTGGGGATGGATCCTTCACCCAAAGAGAAGCCTGTTACTAAAGGGGGGGGGACACAGCCACATCCTCCCCGCCCCTCGGTGCAGCATCCCACCCTGTGCTGACAGAGCGTGGCCACCACAGGGAATTCTCACCCCAACGCATGTTCAGCCATCACCCAGTGCCGATGGCACTTGGTGGCAGCTGACCAACCCCCCCCCTCCACAGCCTTCCCGAAGCAGCCTCGGGGCACACTTGGATAGGCAAGTTAATATAACAGGGAACCCACATGCTCAGGAACTGAAAGTCTGGGGGCCCTGTCAGGGAGGGAGAAGAGCGATGCCCTCCTGTGCGCTTTATTTGTCTGGTGCCAGTCCTGGGACTTGAACTCAGGACCTGGGCCCTGTCCCTTAGCTTTTTCATCCAAGACTGATGCTCTATCCCTTGAGCCACAGCTCTACATCTGGCTTTTTGGTGGTTAACTGGAGATGCCTGGGCTGGCTTTGAACCGCGGTCCTCAGACCCAGCCTCCTGTTTCCTCGCAGTGGAGTGCTTGCCCCTGCAGGGACCAGAGTGTCTTCCCAGACTCCCACACCTCCGCGTCATCCCCATGTTCCTCTCTGTGGTACATGTAACAGTTGGTACCAGGGCCTGCAGTTGGTACCAGTTGGTGCCAGGGCCACCACGCCGTGTGTCCTCCTCCACCTGCTCCCAGCGGCCCTAGAGTGGACAGCTCGGGGAGCCTTGCGCAGCCCGGGGCATTTGCCCTCAGCCTGGGGCTCTGCGGCCCAAGCCTCCCCAGAGGCCCCGTACTGGGTCCCTCGAGCTGTCTCCAGGAGACTGCTTCTCTGAAGCCACTTTCAGCTCCATAAAAGGCTGCCCGGAGCCTCCTGGGCCTCCCCTCTGCTCTCCTCTCCCTGAAAGAGCCCCAGGCAGATGACGCCTTGCTGCCCGCCAGGCCCCACGCTCCCCCCATGCCTTGCTTGGCAGGCCTTGGGGGAGGGGCTCACCCCTTAAGCAGGTGGAGGAGGGTAGAGACCAGAGTCCCCTCTGTGGGGGGGGAGATGACTCCACACAGCAGGGGGCGGGTGGAGATGTCAGATGGTGGGGGGGCTCTGTCCCTGCGGCCAGGTGCTAGAGGTCCGTTTGGTGCCACTTTGCCCTGTGGCCCTTGCTTGCTGAGACACAGCCCCCTTACCCAGGCCCCCGTGGGCCTGACTCGATGTACACGTGTCTGCCTAAACCAAGTGAGGACAGACTGCAGGGAGGACCCCGGGGCCCGGCCAGGCCCTCCCAGGGCAGGGCTGAGTGGAGCTGGCCACAGGCGCCCCGGCAGGGCCTCAGGCCCGGCTCCTCCGCTGGCCGCCCCCGCACTGGGGCACTGAGGCCGTCTGAGCACGTGGTGCAGGCACCCCTGGCAGGCGCCCCAGCCCGGGAGGGGCCAGGAGGGGGCCCAGCAGCACAGGCTCCTCGAGGACGCAGGCGGGGCAGGCGGCCAGGCTGCCAAGGTGAAGCCTGTCGGCGTGGAGTGCCGACGGCCAGCAGGGGACCGCAGGCTCAGGAGCATGGCTCTCCCCATCGGGGCTCCAGGCCCCCACAGTGGGGGTGGCCAGGGGCCCAGGGAGGAGACTGGGCGCCCGGCTAGGATCCTCCCCGCCGCGTGGGCACCAACCTACCTGTGGCACAGAGCGCCACGAAGGTCTGTGCGTGCTTGCGGATGACATGCTTGTTCTCCTCCTCCTCCGGCATTTTAGAGAGGAAGTGCTCGATGAAGTCGTGGGGGGTCATGGCGGCCAGGTTCCACTTGAGTTTGTTCACCAGAAGCATCTCCATTTGCTGGGGGGGGGGGACAGGGGTAGATGGGGAGTAAGATCAGGACCGGGGGGGACCTGACACACCAGCCACGAACCCCTGCATTTGGTGTGGTCTTGGAGTGGGAAGGGCCGGATGGACGGTGTTTGGGGGGTGTGCGCCGAGACCCCAGACCAAAGCACAAAAGGGGAGAGTGGAGAAGTTCTGAGGCAGACAGGCTGGCGGCGAGGACAAAAAGGCCCCGCGCCGCCGCCCGCGCGCCGCCAGGGGGCGCGCGCGGCCCGCAGCTCGGCGGGAGCCGGCGGCCGGGTGCGGGGCAGGGCCGGGGGTCCCCGCCGCCGGCCCCCGCCGCGGTCCTCCCGGGCCTCCCGCGGGCAGGCCGATCGGCCCGGGGTGGCCGAGCCCGCTGTCCCCCCTCCCCGTCCTCTCCCCCTCCCCCCCGGGGTCCCGGCGCGGCCGGGTGGGGTGCGGGGCCCCGCGGTCACCAGCAGCTCTTCCGGCCGGATGGAGTTGTCGGTGTAGATGCACAGCTTCTCGGCCGTCAGGGGCACGGTCTCCTTCATCTTGGAGGCCACGAACATGCAGGTGGCCCCCAGCAGCTGCAGGCGGCTCTTCTTCAGGGGCTCCAGCGACAGGAAGCGGTCCAGGTAGTTCATGGCCAGCGGGAAGACCTCCTCCTCGCACTTCTGCTCCTCGCAGACCTGCGGGCGAGGCGGGCGGTGAGGGGCGCACGCGGCCCCGCGGCCCCAGCCCCGCGCCCCTTCCCGTCCCCCTCCCCTCCCCCCCGGGGGCGCTTCCGCAGCCCCGCGCCGCCCCGAAACTGAAAGGGAAAGTCGTGGCGGGCGGGGCCCCGCGCGGGGGGCGGCGGGCCCCCCTCCCCGCACCCCGCGCGCCGCAGCCCCCGCCGCGGGGCCGGCGGCCGGGGGCCGCGCTCGGCGCTCGCGCGCGCGCCGCACACAAAGGTGGCGTCCCCGGCCGCCCGCCGCATTTCCCAGACGTCATCTTTTCAAAAAATGTTTAAAAATATCAAAAAAATAGTCCGGGGCCCGGAAAGCCCCCGAAAATGACCCTCGAGGGGTCCTTGATCCGAACCGGGGGTCCGGGGCTCGGTCTGGGCCTCGGGGGGAGCCCCAGGAACTCAAACTCCGGGGCCCCCCTGGCCCTGGGCGCGGGCGCCGTTTTCCTCTCGCAAGGGCACCGCGCCGCACTTTCAAAAATGGTTTAAAAATACTTCCGGGGCCCCGAGCCACCCGCCGACAGCCGGAAAACGTGGCCCGGGCCCCCCGCTCGCCCCAGGCAGGTCCCCCCGGCGTGGGGACCCGCGCGGAGCGGGGTCAGCCCCCGGCGACCCGGGGGCCACGCGACCTTGCCGCCCGGCGTGCTCTCCGGGCCGGGCCGTGCCCCGTGCGGGGAGTCCCGGGGCCCGCCGCGGGAACAAAGGGGCCCCCCCTCCTACCCCGAGCGGGGGTCCCCCCCTCCGATACGGCCCCCGCGCCCCTCCCTCCGGTGCCCGGCGGCCGCGCGGCCCCGAGCGCGGGTCCCCGGCGCCCCGCCGGCCGCTCCCCGCCCCCACCAGGCCCCAATTATTAATAAACACTTTTGCTTCGGAATAAGAGAGCAAAGATGGCGCATAATACTGGCACGAGCAACCCTTGCATACGTGTCCATGGATATTAATTTAAAAATCAAATCTGTGGCCCCCTCCCCCCCCAGAGCGGACGGCTCCGGGCGGCCCGGAGAGCGGGCACAGCGGGGCCGGGGCGCAAACGGGGGCCGCGCAGGGTGTCCCCGCCGGCGCCCCCCGCGCCCACCGGAGGGCCTCGAGGGCAGACCACCCCCCACCGGGAGGAGGAACTTCTAGCGCCCACCCCCCCACCTCTCTCGTTCAAAAAATACCTGCGGCGCCGACCGCTTTTGAGAACCCGGGTTTCTAGTAACCAAGTTCAAAGTTGGAGAGGGAGGGAAGGGAAGGAGTGGAGGGCGAAGGGAGGGTGGGCTCGGCCCACGAGGGGCGCCCCAGGTACCTCCAGCATCCAGGTGGCCACGATCTTGCGCATGGACGGCACGATCTCCTTCTGGACGCACTTGAAGTAGGACACGGAGGGCGCGCAAGTCTCCTCCGCCTTCAGCATGGCCCGCAACACACGGTCGTTGAGGAGGTTGGTGTCCCGGTACGCGCGGCGGATGGCCTCCACCTCGCAGCACAGGAGCTGGTGGTCCATGGCCGGGGCTCCGCCGGGGCGCCTGAGCGCGGGAGGGCCGTGCGTCCGGGCTGGGCTGGGTGTGCGCCGCGCCGCGCTCCGCTCTGGCCGCCGCCGCCCGGGGTCCCTTGGCCGCAGATGCGCGCTCGGCTGCTCGCTGCTGCTGCGGCGCCGACGGCCCTGTGCAGGCTCCGGGACTTTGCAACTTCAACAAAACTCCCCTGTCGTCCGAGTGACGTTACTGTTGTTAAGCAGAGATCAAAGCCGGGCAGAAAACCGGCGCGGGGGCGGGGCGGGGCGGGGCGCGCGCAGGGGGAGGGGGCCGGGGCGCCGCGCGCGGGCAGCCGCGAGGCCCGGAGCCCGGGAGCCATCCCGCGGGCGCCGCGCCGGGCCCCCCACCCCCGCCGGGCCCCCGAAGTGCGGGTTGCATGGAAATGCAAATCGCCCCGGCGGGCCCTTCTCCCCCCGCGGGGGGAAGAAAGGGGTGCGGGTGTGTGTGGCTGCCCCCCTCAGGCTTGGAGGGGGGTGGGGTGGCTTCGTGGACAGACCACTGGGAAGGCGGGCAGGCCACACGCAGTCGGAGGAGGCTGAGGAGTGGGCCATGTGGGGGTACGGCGCCGCCCCCGATCCGAGCCGGGAGAACCGGACGCGTGTCCTCGGACGTCGCCACGAGGGCACCCCCCCCCCCAGCTGGGGAGGCGCGGGGCCACGCGGCACCCGCGTCTCCTTTCTTTTCCTCGAACACGTGTGACACTTGGGACGCGTTTCGCGCGCGGGGTGGCGGGGCCGAGCCCGCAGCCCGGGTCCAGGCTGCGCCCCGCCGCGTGCGCAGGGACGGCGGGGAGGGGGGGTCGTGGCCTGCGTCCGAGGGGAGAGCGGGGAACCTCGAAGGGGACTTCAGCCCGGCATGTGCTCGCTCAGAAAACTAGATAAATGCCCGAAAATTCCAGCAACAGCTCAAGATGGTGGCCGGCGTTTCCTTCACCCCGTCCTGGCCGGGGTGTGTGGGGGGGAATCTACGTCCCACCTGGACGGGACCGCACGGGGGGGGGGCTCCCCACCACCCCCTCCCCGGCGGCACGGCGGACGCAGGCCGTCTCTGCCCCTCACTTTTTAATGGAGAACTTTACAGGTTGGGAAGACGTTGCGGGTCGGGGCCGCCCCCACCCTCAGGACGCGCGGGGGCTGCGTGGCGGGCGGGCGCGGGCCCCCACCCCGACCCCGGGCGCGGGCGCCCGGCTGAGGCCCCGCCGCAGCCCCGCGGACCGGCCGGGGCGGCAGGAGGGGGTCCCCCAACATCCCGCGAAGTGAGCGCGGCACGGAGGACGGCGCTGGGGGACGTGGGGCTCCGTTCTCGGGGTGCCTCTTAGCGTTTAAACAAAAGCACGCGGTGCCCAGCGTCGCGGCTTTCCGTCGCTGTATCTATTTAATCTTTTACAAGCCCGTCCCCAAATTAGGAAGCTTCACTTGCTTTCCCCCGGATAGTTCGGTGTCACCAAACCACCGGGTCCCCCAACAGTCAAGGGGGGGTGATGCGACCCCCCCGCCACGCTGCACACCCTAAGATGTGACAGCCCCCTTCTCTTTCGGGGCGCATTCCTCCCGCTCCCTCCCCACCCCCGCGGGGAAGTGGGGTGCCCGTACCGCGGGTCCCGGAGGGCGCGGCCCCCCCGCCTCCCCGGAGCGCGGGAGGCGGTGGGTGGCCCGACAGGGACGTCCCCCCCCCCGCGTGTCCCCTCGGGGCGCCCACGCCCGCGGGCCCCGCGGAGCCTCGCCGCATCCGCCGGCGCACGAGGCCGGCCCGGCAGCTTTTTCATTCATAAATCCGGGCCGGGCGGCCGCCCAGATGATTTACGGGGCCGCGCTCGGTCGCCGCCGGCCCGGTTTCCCGCCGCCCGCGGGGGCCGAGGGGAGTGGGGGGGGGGTCGGGCCCCGCGTGCGCCCCGGCGAGGGGCGGCGGGGCATAAGGGGGAGCACTCGCCCACCCGGCAGCCGGGGGCCCCCGCCCCGAGCCGCGGGAAAGACGGCGGGGCTGGAATTAGCATGAGCCAATGGGGGCGCCGCGCTGTTACTAGGCGGGCCGGGCAGATCTCGGCGCCGAGCTCCGTTCATCTCCCCGCTCAGGGACGGGCGCAAAAGTGCAAGCCCGGCCGGCGGGCGTGCACCGCCGTCCAGGAACCCGCGGGGGAGGCGCTGGAATTTGGGGCCCGGCGGGAAGCGCCAGCTGCGCCGCCCCCACCCTGGGAATCCTGCTCGGACCGCGTGGAGCCCCGCGGGGCCCCGGCCGTCCTTCGGGCCTGGGGAGGGGCATTTGCGGGGGGGGGGGTGCGGGGCCAAAGCGGCCCTTTGCCCCCCTGCCCCAAGAGAGAGGAAAAAAGCCACTTTTACAACTTTTCTGGCCCACCTTCCCGCCAGTCTGTGGACACCACCCCGAGGCAGGGACCTTCCGCGCACCTGGGGCCACAGCGCTCGGCCCTGCCAGGTGGGCGTCGGTGACCTTTGGGAAACAAAGGCCAGTGACCCGATCCGAAGGGGAGCACCTCGGCGGCACAAAAACGTGTAGCACAAAAAGCCCCCACGTCACCGCGCCGTCCCCGGCGTCCCTGCGCCCCAGCGGGGCCCGGCCCGGGAGCGCGAGTTCGCCACCGTCCCTGGCGGTGGGAACTTCACTCCGCGGGGGAGGGGAGCGCGTTCATTCAGGAGCCGGGAGCGGGGCGCAGCGCGGCTGCGCGCGCGGCCCCGGGTGGGGGGCCCCGGGGAGGGGCGCGCGGCCCCCGGGTCGGGGGGCCCTGGCGGCCGGGCCCCGGCGTGGGCCTCCCCGGGGGGGCGGCGGGGGCGGGCCCGGGGCGGGCGCGCCCAGGTGGGGTCACGCAGCCGCATACCTGGCGGCGACTTGAAAGCGCCGCGCTCCCGCCCGGCGAGCGCGCCGCGGCTAAGCCCTGTAGTCTCCCTGGAAAACGCTTCCGACTGCGGGCCCGGGGTTCCGGGGGCGCTCGGGCTCCCCTCCTCCCACACCGCGTGCTTCGGGGCGCGCATGGCGGCCCACGTGCTGGCGGCGGCCCCGCCCTGGCCACGCGGCGCCCATCTCCCGCGCCCCAGACCCGGCCCCCCCGGGCCCGGCCGCCTACCGGAGCAGCCCCGCGTGGGGACGCCGGCCGCGGGGACCCCCGAGCCCCCGGCCCCGCGTTTCTGCTCCGGATCGGTTAATGTCCGCTAAACGCCGATCGGCTCGTCCCGCCCCGACCCCGGCCGAGCGCGACTCCCCGGGCCGCGGGGCCCGGCCTCGGTGACACCCCAGGAACCGCCTGGGGTGCCTGTCCCCCCAAACCCTCACTGCTCGGTGCTGCCCAGCGCGACCCCCTCCTCCCCCAGAGTGAGCTAGGGACCCCTTGGCCTTCCGGCCCCCGGGGGCCCCTCTCTCGATCTGTCTGCGGGGAGGACCCCGCATCCCGCGCCCCCCTCCTGAAGAGCCCTGGGTCGGCAGCACCCCTCGGCGGCCCTGGGGGCCCCCGGGAGCGGGGCGCCTGCGAGAGCTGTTCCCCGGGGCTCCGGGCCGGGGGGGGGGGGGGGGGCGCGCCGCGGGGCCGCGCATTCCGCGCATTCCCGCCCGGCCCGGGTGCCGCCGCCGCCACGTGGTCGCTGCGCGCGCTTCGGTTACCGTAAAGAACGGAGAGCACGCGCACGACCGCTCCCGAGCGCACGCAGTCCCGGGCCCGCCGGGAAGGCCGGGCCCCCGGGGGTGCCCAGGGGTCGCTCCGCCGATCTGCAGCCCCAGCACCGGAGCTTGCGGTTTGCCGAGCGTCGAGAAGGCGCTTGGAAAGCAGAAAGATGTTCCCCACCTGGCTACGATCCTGCGCGCTTGCTGGGCCTGGCCTCGGACTGGGCCTGGGCTGGAACTGGGCGTCTGGGTGCTGGCTCTGAGACGGAGACGCTTTCTGTTTTTATTTTCTGCCCCAGGCTAGACCTCTGCCACTTGAGCCCCATTGATCCCGAGCGCCTCTCCCGAGTTTGGGGAAGTTGACTAGGGATAAGAGTCTCCAGGACTTTCCTGCATGGTCTGGTCTCAAACCAGAATCCTCAGAACTCAGCCTCCTGAGTAAGCTGGGATTACAGGTGCCGGGATCTGAGGATCAGTCAGAGCACCCCAGAGGCCTGCATCGCTGACCTGTTCACAGGCCAGGAGGTGAGCCAGGCTGGGGTATGACCCCCAGCTCCCCACCCGTGCCGCTCCTGCCGCTCAGTGAGGGCAAACTGCTTCTGTGCACCTTAAATACAGCGTCCCCAGAATCTCTCCGATGGGCCCCCGGTACTCAGGTTAAACTCAGCACCCTTGAGCTTGCTAGGCAGGTGCACTAGCACTTGAGCCATACATCCAGCTCCACTTTGCACTGGTTATTTTTGGAATAGGGTCTCCATTTGGTAGCTTGGACTTTGATCCTCCCATTTGTGGGTGGGTGTGAATCTGCAGGATGGCAGGCCTGCCCTGGGGTGCCTGCCATGGGTGGAGATGAAGTCTTGTGAGTTTTATGCCCTGACTCGCCTTGAACTCCAATCCCCCCATCTCTGCCTCTCAAGTAGCCAGGGTTACACGCATGAGCCGCTGTGCCTGGCTTTTGCCATGTATTTGACAAGCTCGTCATTTTCCTGCATTTCACAGGTCGGGAAATGGGGTAGGGAGAAGCCACGTTTTCAGGGTTGGCAGTGGCTCCCGGTTGTGGGCAGTGGGGCCTGGGGTGCTATCAGAACAGATCCAGGCTCCTCAGATGCCTCCAGAGCTGAGGCAGGATTGTGAGTTTGAGACCAGCCTCTGCTACATAGACTGTCTCCAAAAGGAAAAAAAAAAAAACAAAACAAAACACAAAAACCAAAAACAGGAAAGAGAGAAGCTTATTATAGAACAAAGTCAGGAAGTTGGCCACCCTGTTCTGGCCACTGCACGTGTGCTCCGGACAGACCGGCCTCTGATAAGGCTGGGAGACCCCCAGGAAATCTGGGTCCTCATCAAGGCCCCAGCCAAGAGTAATTAAGGTAATGTGTGCGGGGCTGGCGCGAGGCTGGCTGGCTCAATGTGTTCATTCATGGATTCCCTCTTCTGGGGAGCACGAAGGCCCTGCGCTTCCTGCGCTTCCTGCCGTATGTGGAATTAATTAAGCGCTTCAGTTTATGCTCAGAAACAGAACTGTTTAGATGACTTCATGATGAATCGACTTGCTTTTCTCTGCTGACTCCTGGGGTGCTCACGGGTGTGAGGTTGGAGGGAGAGGAGCAACTGCTGAAGGAAAAATAAAAGTTCAGCTACTTTCCCCCCACCGGCTTTCTCCCTCCGCTGACGCTTCCGTCGCTTCTCCCTGCGAAGGAGGGTGGAAAAGTCGATTTTAAAAGAAGCACATGGATTCAATACAAACGTCAACCGCGGACCAAGGTCAGAAAGACAAGGGGAGGCACGCCTGGGCTTTGGTGGCCGCTGGAGAAACGGAGTGATAAGTCACGGATGCCTGTGGCCTTCAGCCATGCGGATGAGCCCGCAGGCCCGTCCTTCAGTGGCTCAGCCCCAGACAGACCCTAATGGCCGCGAGAGACCAGAGCTGTGTTTCCCCGCCTTCCTTATTCACTGTGCCACACACGAGGATGGTGTTTTACATTGCTCCCCCCTCCCGCTTTCAGGGTGGTTTTGTTACTCAGCGGTAGCTGAGCAATACAAAGGAGAGGTGTGGCTTCACTTCTGCCCCTCCTCACCTCTTGTGTCTGTGTGCTGGGGCTTGGTATGCTAACTTAAGGCCTCCCCGTCTCACAGGCAGACCGTGGATCGGTCCATCTTGGGCCCAAGTCTTGGCTTCTCTACTTGTGGGTTGTGCTGCCTTGGGCGACTTGGTTTCTCCTTGAAGCCTGCTTACTTGTGGGTAGAGGCAGATGGCGGCTGGGAGGGCCTGGTCCGGGCGTCGCGCTGGCTGGGCTGGGCGCTGGCCCACCGCTGGGGTGGAGGATCCTGGGCTGAGGTCTGCATGTTGGTCTGCGTGGCCGCTCCCGGCTTAGGCACCTTCAATGGCTCTCATTGAAGACTAAACCACTGCCAGGGACTCCAAACCCTCCACAGCCCGTCAGTCTTCCCAGGGAAAAAGCCCAGCTCACAGGCCGGGCGCCGCCCCGCGGCCACACACCTTGACCCCTCAGCACAAGAACTACTGTGTCCTGTCTTCTCCAAGCCGTTCCACAGGGCTGGCCGGGGCCCACCCGCTCACCACGCGTGGGCGCCGCTGCACTGCTGCGCAGAAGACCTGGTTCCTGGCGGCAGCCACTGCGGCGTCTCCCTCCTCCCACCCAGTGCATCCAGGACGGGGGGAGGGGGGCGACTGAGCGTACACGGGGGGCTGAGTGTACACGGGGGGCTGAGCGTACACGGGGACCTGAGCGTACACGGGGACCTGAGCGTACACGGGACCTGAGCGTACACGGGGGCTGAGTGTACACGGGACCTGAGCGTACACGGGGACCTGAGTGTACACGGGACCTGAGCGTACACGGGACCTGAGCGTACACGGGGGGCTGAGCGTACACGGGGGGCTGAGCGTACACGGGATCTGAGTGTACACGGGACCTGAGTGTACACGGGACCTGAGTGTACACGGGACCTGAGCGTACACGGGGACCTGAGTGTACACGGGGCTGAGCGTACACGGGGGCTGAGCGTACACGGGGGCTGAGTGTACACGGGGGCTGAGTGTACACGGGATCTGAGCGTACACGGGGGCTGAGCGTACATGGGATCTGAGCGTACACGGGGGCTGAGCGTACACGGGGGCTGAGCGTACACGGGATCTGAGTGTACACGGGGGCTGAGCGTACACGGGGGCTGAGCGTACACGGGGGCTGAGCTTACACGGGGGCTGAGCGTACACGGGGGCTGAGCGTACACGGGGGCTGAGCGTACACGGGGGCTGAGCGTACACGGGGGCTGAGCGTACACGGGGGCTGAGCGTACACGGGGGCTGAGTGTACACGGGATCTGAATGTACACGGGATCTGAGTGTACACGGGGGGGCTGAGTGTACACGGGGGCTGAGCGTACACGGGACCTGAGTGTACACGGGGGGCTGAGCGTATACGGGGGCTGAGTGTACACGGGGGCTGAGCGTCCACGGGGGCTGAGTGTACACGGGGGGCTGAGCGTACACGGGGGCTGAGTGTACACGGGGGCTGAGCGTACACGGGGGCTGAGTGTACACGGGGGGGCTGAGCGTCCACGGGGGGCTGAGCGTACACGGGGGCTGAGTGTACACGGGGGCTGAGTGTACACGGGGGCTGAGCGTACACGGGGGCTGAGCGTACACGGGGGCTGAGCGTACACGGGATCTGAGCGTACACGGGGACTGAGCGTACACGGGGACTGAGCGTACACGGGGGGCTGAGCGTACACGGGGGCTGAGCGTACACGGGGGGCTGAGTGTACACGGGGGGCTGAGTGTACACGGGACCTGAGCGTACACGGGGACTGAGTGTCCACGGAGGCTGAGCGTACACGGGACCTGAGCGTACACGGGGGGCTGAGTGTACACGGGGGGCTGAGCGTACACGGGGGCTGAGTGTACACGGGTGAGGGCTGAGCGTACACGGGGGCTGAGTGTACATGGGGGCTGAGCGTACACGGGGGCTGAGCGTACACGGGGGCTGAGCGTACACGGGGGCTGAGCGTACACGGGACCTGAGCGTACACGGGGGCTGAGTGTACACGGGGGGCTGAGCGTACACGGGGGCTGAGCGTACACGGGGCCTGAGCGTACACGGGGCCTGAGCGTACACGGGGGCTGAGCGTACACGGGGGCTGAGCGTACACGGGACCTGAGCGTACACGGGGGCTGAGCGTACACGGGACCTGAGCGTACACGGGGGCTGAGCGTACACGGGGCCTGAGCGTACACGGGGGCTGAGCGTACACGGGGGCTGAGCGTACACGGGGGCTGAGCGTACACGGGACCTGAGCGTACACGGGGGCTGAGCGTACACGGGACCTGAGTGTACACGGGGGCTGAGCGTACACGGGACCTGAGCGTACACGGGGCCTGAGTGTACACGGGGGCTGAGTGTACACGGGGGCTGAGCGTACACGGGGGCTGAGTGTACACGGGGGCTGAGTGTACACGGGACCTGAGCGTACACGGGGGCTGAGCGTACACGGGGCCTGAGCGTACATGGGATCTGAGCGTACACGGGGCCTGAGCGTACACGGGGGCTGAGCGTACACGGGGGCTGAGCGTACACGGGATCTGAGCGTACACGGGATCTGAGCGTACACGGGGGCTGAGCGTACACGGGGGCTGAGTGTACACGTGGTCTGAGTGTACACGGGGGGCTGAGTGTACACGGGGGCTGAGTGTACACGGGGGCTGAGCGTACACGGGGGCTGAGTGTACACGGGGGCTGAGTGTACACGGGACCTGAGCGTACACGGGGGCTGAGCGTACACGGGGGCTGAGCGTACACAGGGGCTGAGCGTACACGGGTGAGGGCTGAGCGTACACGGGGGCTGAGCGTACACGGGGGCTGAGTGTACACGGGATCTGAGCGTACACGGGTGAGGGCTGAGTGTACACGGGGGCTGAGCTTACACGGGTGAGGGCTGAGTGTACACTGGGGCTGAGCGTACATGGGGACCTGAGCGTACACGGGGGCTGAGCGTACATGGGGGCTGAGCGTACACGGAGGGCTTAGTGTACACGGGGGCTGAGTGTACACAGGAGGCTGAGCTTACACGAGTGGGGGCTGAGCGTGCTGAGGGTGAGAGCAATGTGGCCGGTGTGCAGGCAGGAGGAGAGCTCAGCCCTTGGACCCTCAAGGGGAGATACCTGGACTTGGGCCCCGAGTTCGAGGCTAGCCGGATCCGTGGGCAGCGGTGCCCCGTTGGGGGCCGAGGGTCCTTTGCCACCCCCTTCTGCACCAGGTTGTTTTGTGACCACTGGTCTGGTTTTGTTCTGCTGTTGCTTTGGCTCGCTCCCCCCAAGCCAGTGGGACAGAGGGGCGCCCGTGACCTCGCAGAGGGGGTTACCTCTGCCCTGTGGAGGGGCTGCCCTCTGACCCCAAAGGTACAGGAGTGACCTCACAGGACAGCGCACCGAGGGCCTGGGCCATGAACGTGGCGTGACCGAGTTCACCCGGCACAGTTCCTGGTCCTCACTGCACGAGTGCTCACACCTGTAATCCTGGCTACTCGGGAGCTGCGATCTGAGCCAGCCCAGGCACCCCTTAACCACCAGAAAACCATAAATGGCGCTGTGGCTCAAGTGGTAGGGTGTTCGCCTTGAGTGAAAAAGCTCAGGGACAGTGGCCAGGCCCTGAGTTCAAACGCCATGACTGACAAAAGGAAAAAAAAACCTCACAGACTTTCCTGCCCGGGCGGCTGGATTTCAGCTCCGCCTCCTGAGTAGCTAGGATGACAGGTGTTGAGCCACCGGTGCCCAGCTAACTTTTGTTTCTTCTGCTCTGCTTTTTGAGGCAGAGTCTTACTATATATTGCAGTTGGCCTAGACGTGGAGATGCTCCCGCCTCAGCCTCCCGAGTGCTGGGATTACAGGTGCACCGCACACACTCAGAGCCAGGATCGGCCGCAAGTAGAATACTTCTCTTATTTTCCGGTCCGATGGTCAGCAGTCTGAGCACTCTGAGCTATTAATAAATAAGGTTATCATAAACAAATTCCAAGGTTAGGTTAATTTGGTAATGGCCATGTAACGCGCTTTTGGAGAGTTGCAATGCCCCTTTGCCCGTCACAGGCTCTGAGAAGTCCCGAAAGGTAAAAGTGCTCATTTCCAACATATTTTGTGTGTGTGTGTGTGTGTGTGTGTGTGTGTGTGTGCCAGTCCTGGGGCTTGAACTCAGGGCCTGGGCGCTGTCCTTGAGCTTCTTTTGCTCAAGGCTAGCACACTACCACTGAGCCACAGCCCCACTTCTGGCTTTTTCTGCGTATGTGGTACTGAGGCATCGGCAAGCACACTACCACTGAGCCACCTTCCCAGCCCACATTGTTCTTTTTACACTGGGGCTTGAACTCAGGGCCTGGGCACTGACCCTGAGTGTTACCCCCTCCAGGCTGGTGCTGAGTTTCCTGCCCGGGCTGGCTTTGGACAGCCTTCCTCAGGTCTCAGCCCCTTGATTAGCTAGGATTCCAGGCATGAGCCATTATTCTTTTAATATACTGTCTGCTAACAACAGCCTTTGGAGATGTTCCAGAAGTATTCTTTGGGAAACATGGCCCTGGAACATATTTTCCTAAGTGAAATAAAAGAATATAAATAGTTTGTCCTTTTTCCTCCATAAGAACAGAAAATGCTCGCAGAATTCAGCCTAGAAACGAAACTGCATTGGGGTCTCTGCGAGCAAGGCTGGGGCTGGCTGGCCTCTGCCCGCACGGGGGTCTCACCTTGCTGCCTTTGTATCATTTTAAGTTGTAGTTAATTTCGTTCTTTTCCTTGGTCAGCTTGTTATCTGAATTTTTAGATTGTATTTTCTTCTCGGATCACTATGAACTTGACCTTTGGAGGGTGACCTTTTATATTTGCTAATGAAACTCCCTATGTGTGGAGAGTTCACGTTTTCAAACCGTTCAATAGTGAGTCTCGAACTCAGTGTCTCAGGTTTGCTTAAGCTTACTTGGCTGGTGCTCTACCACTTGAGCCTCTCTTCCAGTTTCGCATTTTTGCTAGTTAATTGGAGATGGAAATCTTTCGGACTTTTCTGTCCAGGCTGGCTTTGGATAGCAACTCTCCAGGTCTCAACCTTCTGAGTGCTGGGATGGCAGGCGTGAGCTGCAGCCCCCGGCAAGCGCTAACTCTTAAACTTTCTGCACTTTTCCCTGTGCCGTCTCCGGCCTTGCGCTTCCTTGTGCATATGGTGACATAAGAAGTAAAAATAGCTTTGGACTTACTCATCCGACTCGCACGTGGTCTCACAGTGAGTGGCTCACACACGCGCTGGGTCAGCATCTGTTTCTGTACATGAATGGGAAAGCGACAATCCTATTTTCTTATAGCTGCTTCAGAGAAATCCGAAAAGCTTGCACAAGGAATGCGTGCCTACCATGGAAAAGAGAACGGAAACGTCAGAACGGCCAGATCCGCCGCACCTGTGGCCCCGCGTGCCGGCAGGCAGCGTTGGTGGTCTCAGCGTGCGGGCCGCCCTGGGGGGCTCGGCCTGTTGGTGGTGCTGGGATCTCCGCCGGGGATCTTTCCAGACTTGGTGAACACCAGGCAGCTGACCTGCTCGTGAGACCCACCGGGCAGCGGGGGGACGACAGTCAGTACCCTCCAGTCTCACACTTGAGTTGCTGAGGTATTTAGATGGTTGTGCTTTGATTCTGCGGTACCGGGGTTTGAACCCAGGGCCTCACTCTTGCTAGACAGGTGCTGTACTGCTTGATCCATACCTCCAGCCCTGTTTTTGCTGGGTTTTAGACTGGGCTGTGCCCTTCCTGTTTATGCTTCCTTCTTGTGGCTGGAGGGACAGTCATGCGCCAGCACACTTACCTTTTCCTTGTCTGTGACGAGGTCTTCTGTATGTGCTCAGACAGGGCTGAAACTGACCCCTGTTCCCTGTCCCCTGGAGCTAGGATTAGGGTGAGCCATTTGCACCCCTGCTTCTCTCAGTTCTTTTCTGACCCTTGGCTTCATGTCTCCATTTGCTTTCTTGCTGTCTTAGAGGTGATCCGCAGCGGGTCACAGTTACCGGCGTCAGGTGCTGAGTGCAGGTCCTTTCTCCCGTGTCGTCTGGTCCGCGCCCTCTCCCAGTCCCTCCCTCCCTCCCATCTCCACCCATGAGTCGCACAGTTCACTTTCGTGTGCTCTGCTGCTGCACTTTTTCCTTGCGTTCTGTGCCCTCCTCGCGCTCCTGTAGATATGAACCTGACGATACCATATATAACAGAATCCTCAGCAAAAGAAAAAAAAAAGAAAGTCCCTTGTTTTCATGTGGTTGGAGTCGTTGCTCAGTACGCGTGCTATGTGATGTGCGTGTGACGAGTGCTTGGGTATTGCACCTTTGTGATTCTCTTCTAAGACCACCCTGTTTTGGTCTCACTGTAGGTGAGTATCTAGAATCCTGTGTAATTTGTCACATCCTAGGGCATTTCAGATCCAACTTCTGCCTATCAGAGAGAACATGTGCTGTTTGTGTCCCTGACCTTGGCTTCCCTCGCTGAACATGATGTGTTCTAGTTCCATCCATTTCCCTGCGAATGACATTATGTTATTCTTTCTGATGGCTGTGTAAAATTCCATTGTGTATAGGTGGCACATTTGTGGGCTCCGCTCATCTCTTGTGGGGCATCTGTGCCGTTTCCATATCTGCTGTGAACAGTGTGGCAACAACCGTGGATATGCAGGTGTCTTTATCCCATCCTGGCTCCTGATGCTCAGGGTAGATGCCCAGGAGTGGTATGGCTGGGTCACAGGGAAGGTCTCTGGTAGTTTTATGAGGAGCCTCCAGACTGTTGTCCAGAGTGGTTGCATGAATTTACATTCCCACCCGCAGTGCAGTAGGCATCCTTTCCCCCCACATCCTTACCAGCATTTGTTGTTTGAATTCAAAATGTTGGCCAATCTAACTGGGGTGAGATGGAATCTCAGGGTTGTTTTGACTTGCATTTCCTTTATGGCCAGGGATGACGAGCATTTCCTCATGTGTTTCTTTGCTGTTCTTACCTTTTCTTTTTAGAAGTCTCTCCTTAGCTCCCTTGCCCATTTAGTAATTGGTCTATTAAGTTTGGGAGGAGTTCATTTCTTGAGCTCCTTGTACATATTGGATATGATATATTGCTGGTAAAGAGCTTTTCCCACTAGGTTGGCTGTCTTTCTAGTTTGGTTGCTATGTCCTTAGCTGTGCAGAAACTTTTTATTTTAATGTAGACCCTCTTGTCCAGTCTCTCTCCAATTTGTAGTGTCCCTGGGGCTCTGTTAGGAAGTTCCTGCCTGTGTCTATAAGTTCGAGCGTCTCTCCTACTCTCTTGCAGTAGTTTCAGAGTTTCAAGTCTGACGTTGAGGCTTTGATCCGCTTTGAGTTGATGTTGGTGCCTGGTGACAAGCAGGGATCTACTTTTAGTTTTCTGCAGATGGCCATCCAGTTTTCCCAGAGGCCATGACTTTTGCCACTGTGTGTCTTTGGCTCCTTTGTCGAATATCAGACGTCCGTACATGTGTGGTTTTATTTTTGGGTCTTCTAATCTATTACATTGGTCTTTGGGTCTATTTTTGTGCCAATACCAAGCTGTTTTTTTTTTTTTTTTTACTGTGGCTTTCTAGTAGAGCTTGAAATCTGGTATTGTGATACCACCTGTGTTGTTTCTTTTGCCTAGAATTGCTTTGGCTATTCTAGGTCTTTTGTTGTTCCATATGAATTTTTGGATTGTTTTCTCTCTCTCTGTAAAGAATGCCATTGGGATTTTGATGGGAATTGCATTGAATTGGTCTATCATTTTTGGCAGTATGGCCATTTTCACAATATTGGTTCTACCTATCTGGAACATGGTAGGTCTTTCCATTTCCTGATTTCCTCTTTGATTTCTTTCTTCAGATTTTTATAAAGCTCACTATAAAGGTCTTTTATATCTTTGGTTAGGTTAATTCCTAGGTATTTTTTTGTATCCTGCTGCTTTGTTAAAGTGGTTGATCAGCACTAGGAGCGTGGGGGTGGTGCT